GTGTATATTATTAATATTTCGCTGCCATTAATGCCATCGATGTCTTCCAACTATCACTTTTACTTCAACAAAAGTTTTCAAATCAGTGTAAAAGCAAATAAACTTAATCCCAACACACATTTCATATATCATCAAAAACCAAAGTAGAAAAAAAAAACAATTGAATGAGAAATAAAGTCTAGGTTACACGATAAATTTTACCCATAGAATGATGTTTTTACGAAATCGCTTGAGTAGCTCCACCAACAGTAAAATCTCCCTGATACAAAACATAATTGCATATTAAAACTCAAATATCTAATTTGCTGTAACTTTGATGTTGGAGGAATTTCACATTCAGACTCGACAGGCAATTTTCTGGAAACTCAACATAGCACCTGGTCAGAGCACTGTTAAACTGATTAGTGAAATCTCTCTGGTTTACCTGTGCGCAGAGAGATCGTGAGGTCGCTCCACATCCACTCGGCACAGCGGCTCTGTGATCACACGAGCCGACAGCGAGAAGCGCTCGTACTCCGAGGGCGAAATCAGGTACAACCCTAATAATATTGAAGGCAACATAGTTGAATCTCATTCATGGGGAAAAAGCTCAAAGCTAGAAATTATTTCCATGCTGTTTGAGAATGAACTACTAACCTTGTCCAGTCTTAGTGAACACGCAGGAAGCAATGCCACTGATGTCTTCTTTGCGGATGCAGTCGTAGCGCGTTTGCGGTCTCAGTGCTGGCACACTGAACACGTGGATGTCACCCAGATTGGTAAGGCACACTAGAGCGTTCTCAGAGTAATCTTCAGAGCTAACGCTGGTGAAGTTCGACAGCGCCACTTTTCGGACTCGACAGCCTTCATGGGCCGTCAACTTGAACTTGGTCTTCGCGCTTACTTTAGGCAGCGTGAAAACCTACACAAAGCAAAAGAAAGGTTGTTCACTTCCAACCTATTTTTTTTTCATGATCCAGTTTATTTAGTTGTAAATATCCCAACCTTAAACTGCTCCTCGGAAGCAATAAGAACCGAGTGGCTGCCCTGCATGTCTGGGGCCTTGGCCAGATCTCTGGAGACTTCGAACGGCTCCGGCAGAGGGTTCCCTCGGCCATCCAGCACAGCGATGG